CGGGAGCGAAGGCGGAAGGCGGGCTTGGGGCGCAGGGGCCCCCGAGTTTGTACCCAGTGTCCCAGGAAAGTGTCCTTGGACGTGGCAAACTTTCTCGGAGCTGCAGGAGCAGAACTTCTGGCGCCGTGCGCGCTGCAGCCGGGGCGGGCCGCCTCCCCGCCGCCTCCCCGCCTCTCTACTGTCTCCGGCCCGAGGCGCCTCCCTGGGGCGCTGCCTGGCGGCGATGGCAGCCGAGGACCGGAGGGGCTGCCCTCAGGCCTGCCCTTGGGAAGCCTCCGCTGGGGGCGTCGCCCTCAGCCACCCGGGCCTGACTCGTGCCTGGGGAATCGCCCTGTACCCGCAGCATGCCAGCGCCCCTCACCTCTCCCGGGGATGCTGTGCTCCTGGGGTGTGTGTGCGCCTACTTTATTTAATGGTGGCCCCAGCGCAGGGGTGCAGTGAGACACGGGTGCTGGGGCACCACGCACGTGAGGGCAGCACAGGCCTGGCACTCCAGGCCTCACCGTGGGCACAGAGGAGGAAAGGGTGAGGCCGGGCTGGCACCGTCTGGGTTCCAGGCGTCCACTGTGCTTTACCCTGGGATGCCGCGGCCCCCAGAACGCCCAGGGCCTCCCTGCGGAAAGGATGTCCTCACCGGGGCTGCCTGAGAGGCCCCAAGGGGATCAGCCGCTCCTCTGCCGGCTGCGGAGTTTGTTGGTCTGTCTGAGCCTCCCAAGTGAGAGGGTGGACGGGTGTCACCCTCTGCGTCCCCACTCCTCTCTGACGTCGCCTTTTCCAAGCTGACATCGTCCTCGACAGAAATCCTTTCGGTTCCTCTTTGTGTCGTGGGACGACTATAGATTCAAATGATGTCCCCTCCCAACTTGTTGCAGTCTGTTTTCTGTTTTTGCTTTGTTGTGTTGCCCAGCTTGACCTTGAACTCCTAGGCTCACAGGATCCTCCTGCCTCAGCCTCCTGTTGAATGTCTGCTCTGATACTCAGGGGTGAGAGTCACAGCATTTGTACCGACTCCCCCAGCGAGGTGATGTTTGTGTGGGGACCAGAAGGAACCACAGGAAGAAATCTTTACTGAAATAGCAAGGACAGGGGATGTTCTGGACCTTGATAGCTTTTTATAGGCGACATTTCCACTCTTGCAGTACAAAGGACTCATACCCCGAAGTAATGGCCTGGGCTCAGGTTCCAGAGCAAAGTGCTTCCGCCGCCGCAGGCTCCTGCGTGAGAACAGAACCTGGTTTAATTGAAGGAGGGACAAGCTTCGTTGAGGACCGGGAAGCGCTGGAGGAGCCAAATGCCGCCCCGGGGCAATGGTCGCCACCCTCTATGGGTTAGCTGGGCTCCGGCCCCGTTCTCAAGGTTGGGGTGCCTGGCACGTGAGGGGCTCCCCCACACGAACACAAGCCCACGACTCCTAATTGGGCTCAGAGGCAGGAGCTGAGCGCAGGACTGGCGTCCTGGCTTCCCTCTGGTCCTCTGGGAAGTGGGAGTGACTGGATAATGAGGCTTGAATAATTGAGAGCGGAGAGTCGAATGATCCCGCAGGCCTGTTGCCTCGGCAACCCGCCCTTCCGCTCCAGGGCAGGAGCTGCTCCAGACCCTGGCTGTGGGCGCCAGAGCTCTGCTTCTTTGCCTACCAGGGATGATGATGGGGAGACAGCTGGGAGACGGCTCGGGTCCGGCTGGCTCGCTCACTTCCTCCTTTGTTAGAAAGCCCAGGAAGCGGATGTGACTCTGCTACTGCCCGGACCTTGGAAGGAGAGAGAGGAGGGAGTGGACAGTGAAGGTCAAGTTCGGGAGCCCACAGGCATCCGACCTCACCACGACTGACTGGCAGAGGACAGGGAGGGACGGGCATATGGGCTGGCCCTTGCAGGGGAGCTGGCAGTGGGAAGGAGCCTGTGGGGTTTGGAGGAACCAGTGCAGGAAGTGTCTGGGAGTGACCTTCGAGGCGTGATGAAGGGTGGTGCCCCGCATGGAGGCGTGTCACATGGAGGCGTGTCACGTGGTGGCCTGGTCAGAAAAGGGAACTGTGACCTCAGGCGAGTGGAAAAGTGGAAGGACGTGCTTCAGATCCCCAGAGCGCCCCACAGACAGGCTGGGGACCCCAGAGGACCGTGTGTCAGAAAGCCGCCAGCCTTGCTGGAGATCTCGGGAGCAGGTGCGGAGGAGGACCCCCTCCCCTGTGACTGCGGGAGCAGTGGCCCATAGCCCCAGCGTGCCAGGGAGGGGCTGGGGACCGTCACAGCTGCTGACAGCTCTCAGCAGTGAGGCCCGGGTGAAAAGGAACTGGGGAAGTCAGCCCGCCTGCCCTCGGAGAAGCCCTATCCGCTGCTGGACGTCCCTGGCCAAGCATGTGTCACTGTGCCCTAGTGCCGGACCCTAGATGCCAGTGACCGGTGGCAGTGCCAGCGCCTCTTGGAGAGCCCAGACCACCAGTCCCAGCATGGGCAAGCCACAGAACAGGCTCTGTAGTCCTCAGAGAAAAACCCTAAAATGTTCTGTTCCCAGTTGCCCTGAAAAGGATATAGGAATGATCTCAGACCTCCAAATGACAGAGGGAAATATTATAACTCCCAGCCTGCCAGACGTCCCACATGCTGAGTTCGTGCTCCCCAAAATCGAAGAGTGAAGTCTGAGGAACAAGGCAGAAAGTTTTAGTGAGGGTGAGACAGTTCCTCGAGGGCCCGGCCCTGCCTGGCTGCCTAGAATATTTCTGTCAAATTTACCTGTCTACACTAAAAACTCCTGGACTCACACATCACACCGTGTAGTTAGACGTTTACAGGGGCAGAACACTTGCCTTCCTCGTTTGAGGCTGCGATGCCTTCCTATCTCTGTGTAGCTGTGGAGTTGCCCCAGGCCCCAGGACGTTTAACCACCGCTCTGTACTAAGACTGCCTAGAGGGCCGTGTTGTTGATTCCACCCTGCAAGGCAGGGGTTCCGGCCTGCCTGCAAGTTTCACCCCTGATTTATAGTACGGGAGACACAGGCTCCCCCTGAGTGCCTCCCAGGGGCTCTCGGGGTGGTTCTGTCCCCAGGGGCTGTGCAGGGTCTGCAGATGCTTTGGTTGCTGCCCCTGTGGGGAGACTGTCCCGGCATTGTGGGGTGGACACCGGCAATGTCCAGAGCATCCTGCCGAGCCCACGTCAACAGGTTATTGCCCCACATGTCACTGTGTGCCCTCGGGGAGACACCTAGAACCCAGGAAAGCTGAGTATGGGGGAGAGCTGAGTATGGGGGAGGTCTGGGTCTGGGACTCCCCAGCGGCCCAGCCTGAGGCTCCCAGTTCAGTCCCCGGACCAGGGATTCTACAGGGCCATCTCGGCCTGGCAGGCTGGACCTGGAGTGGGCGGCCCCGTGAGAGGAAGCAGCAACCATGTGGAGACCGGGAAATGCAGTCAAGACCTCCAGAGTCACAGCTGGCCCTGGATTGGATCGGGGAGGGGAGGCCAGCTGTGCCTCCGTCCCTGGCCCCCACGGTGCTCCTGCAGCCGGCTGGGGATTCAGGAAGCAGGTACAAGATGTGATCAAAATCTGCAGCGAATGCACACATATAAAAAATGTGTTGCAGTAAGATACACATTGCTATGAATCCCCTCAAAATCCTCCCCGTCGCTTCCAACAAACTCATCCCGTCACCCTCGCCGCAGTTGGAAGCAGCTCTGGAGTACTATTTCCCGAGTGTCCTTACGAGGTGTGATCAGAAACACGGGAAATGCTGCTGCCGAGCGCCGTCCTCCGGAGAGGCAGGCTCAGAAGAGCGCTGTGCTGCGTCCTCATCCTCCTGAGTCACAGCTGTGGCCCCGTGGGGCTTCTGGCTCCTCCCCAAAGTCAAAATGACTACGGAACGGAAACGTTTTGAATCGATTCAAGACATCGAGGCAGCTAAAACAGTGACACTAAAGACTCCCAGAGGACTCCAGCGGGGCTGCAGAACGTGGCGAGGATGGAGGCGTGTGCCTGGAGGGCGGGGGAGGGATTTGAGGGTGATGATGGCAGTGTCTTAAGGTGTCTTAAAAATCTACACCTCCACCCTATAGTTTGCTCCCGCCTTGTAAAAGAGCACTGACAAGAGCCTACATTGTCTGGTTCTGGGGTCCCTCTCGGCCCTCTGCCCCTCAGGGGTCTTCTGCGGGGAGGGACACGGCTGGGAGCTGTGGGCCCTGACCTGTTTGGGACCCTGTGTCATGTGACAAGGGCTGGCAGGCGTGGGGCCTGAGATCCACGGGGACACACGACCTGCGCTGGGGGATTGGGTTCTAGCTGGAGAGAGCAGCGCTGGGTGAGATAAAGGGCAGCTGTGAATCAGCCAGATGAGGGTGGGGGTGCTGCCGGAGACCCCAGAGAGGCCCTTTTGGGGTGGTGCAGGTGGGGGCCTGGGGCCGGGCTAGGGTGTGTGTGAGCCTGCGTGGCCCGCTGTGACCTGCGTGGTCCGCCCTCCCGGTCACACTTGGGCCTTCCGGGAAGCTGCAGTGTGGAGTGTCTGGAACCTGGGGAGGGTGAGGAACGGGGCCTAGGTGTGGCACAGGCAGGAGTCACCTCCTCCGAGGCAGTGCAGCAGGGAGGTTTCTAGAATGTTCCATGGGAGGGAGGAGCTCTGAGGCTCTCTGCAGGCCCATTGCCCAAACTTCTTTCTCCTTTCTTCCCTACCCTTTCCTTGAAAACTTTCCTTTCCCTTCCTTTTCCCCATTTCCTTTCCTTTTCCCTCTCCCTCCCTTCCCGCCTTCCCTGTGTGTGCTGGGGATGCGGCCCAGGGCCGGTGCAGGCGAGCGCACTGTCCGCCACCTCCGCCCAGCCCTTCTGGATCAGGGCGGCTGCTGTGGGCAGGGACAGCCCTGGGCCCACGAGGGAAGGTGCAGCGGGACTTCCCAGCCCGGCATTACCGGGCGTCCCGGGACCCTGAAATCACTGTTTCCAGCCTCTGGCTGAGAGGAAGTGCAGGCATTCAGGGGAGGCTCGGCGCGGCCTGGCCAGACTTCCTTTGATTGTTGTGCTGGCCGTAATCTTCCGATGCAGCCTTTCCCGTTGTGTCCCTGGTGGGCCCACTGTCCAGCAGACCACATTGCAGGCCTGCTTGTTTGCTGGTGGTTTTCAGAGAAAATCTCTGAATTTTTTTTTTTTTTTTGGTCTTTTTGAGACAGGGTCTCGCTATGCAGTTCAGGCTAGCCTTGAGCTCACTTTGTAGCCCAGGCTGGTCTCAAACTCTCAATGATCCTCCTGCCTCAGCCTCCTGAGTGCTGGGATTACAGGCGTGCGCCACCACGCCCAGCCTGAAGTGTAGTTTTGATCGAACCCTGGAAAGGCGCATCTTGGCAAGAGCATGACAACCTGTCACCTGCCTTTCAGGGCTGGTGGTTCTCTTCCAAGTAGTGGATCTGTGATTCTCCAGTGCCTTGGGTGTAGACCTCTTAGGAAATCAGATCTGCCTATGATTCCAGCATTTGGGAAGCTGAGGCAGGAGGATTGCTTCGAGTGCAAAGGCACCCTGAATTACGGAGTGAGACACTGCCTCAAAAAAACAAACCAAACAAAAATAACAACAAAGAAGATGGTCAGATCACTTTTCCACCCTCCACTCATCGGAGCATTCTACTTGGAATTCTTGCCTCGCCTCTGTGGAGTTAGTATGTACTGCATACCCCTAAGTTGCTGACCGCAGCACTTCCTGTCCAGTCATCAGAATAATTACGGGGTGCTTATACACTGTAAGTGGGTACACGCCTGCTGGGAGCAGTCTTCAAGTGCCCCTTTGATTGATCCCTTCCTGCTGGGGTTAGCCAGGGCAGGTCCATTTACCTACCTGCTTTCTTCTTTCTAAATAGACGGCTCCATCACAGAAAAAATGTAGTCTAAGGAAATCTTTTTTCCCCTTCTTTGCATTAGCAGTACACTTGACTTTCTAGGTTTCTGGTGAGAAACAGGCTTGTCTCCTAATGAGTATATTTGCTATTCGTCACACTGCCTGGGGGTTGGAAGACATCTCAGGAGGCTGAGGAGTGCTTTATAAACACACCGCACTTAGTGGTGTTAATCTACATCTCGCGGGATACAAGGGTGTAGACAGTGCAGTGGTGTAGATTTTGTATCTTTGAGTGTCTTCTCATGACACATATTCAAAAGAGGGACTTTTCTGATTATAAGACAAAATAGAGCCGGGTCTGGTGGTGCATGCCTGTAATCCCAGCACCTGGGAGGCTGAGGCAGGAGGATCCACATGAATTCGAGGCCAGCCTAGCCTATGCAGTGAGTTCAAAGCCAGCCTGGACTGTAGAGCAAGAGCCTGTAAAAAAAAAAAATGAAAAGAACAAAGGGACAGGGCCGTAGATCCTGGCATCGTCCTCTGTCTAAAGCTCTCTAATCTAAGATTAACGTTGTCAGCTGTGTGAGACCAGCTCTGACTGGGAGAGCCTGGCACACCTAAGCTTGAGGCCTCATTTCTCTTTTTCTCTTTACAGTACTGGGAATTGAATTTAGGACAATCCCGCTGAGCTATATTACCACCCTTAGTTTTTGAGAGAAGGTCTCACTAAGTCTCTAAGTTGCTCAGGCTAGGCTCAAATGTGTGACCTTCCTGCTTCAGCCTCCCAGAGTGCTGGGATCACAGGCGTGCACCACCCGGCTTGGTAGGGCCTCGTTTCTTCTGCCTTTCCTAGCAGATGGGTTCTCACTGCTTCTCAGAGATGCCCAGCACAGATGCTGGCCCCAGCCCTGCCCGGATCCCAGGCTGCATCTTGCTCTAGCCTCTGTTCCTGGTGATCACAGCAGTGCCGGAGTCTCAGGGACGTGGAGATAAGATTCCACGGGGGCGGTGGATTCTGACCCCACCATCAGGGGCAGAGAAATGTGAAAGCCAAGGTGTTGTGAGGACACAGCCTGGCAGGGTGCTGTTTGCCAAGTAGCAAGTAGCACCTCAGTTTCAACCTGGGGGCACGTGGGAGGGGGGAGCCAAGTGATGTCTAAGTGGCGTCCCCAGGACTGAAGCCTCTGCCAGCTGCTCTTCCCCTGCCATGGTACGGGGAATTGAACTCACAGCCTTGCGCTTGCCAGGCAGGCGCTGTGCCCCTGAACTAAATCCCCAGCCCAGCCAGCTGCTCTTATGTCAGCTCAACAACGTTTCCCAGCACTTGCGGAAACTATACAAGCCCAGATGGCCTTTCGTTGGTAGCAAAGTTGCAGAGTCTTTAGAGCATTTGCCTGTGGGAACCCAGCTGTCCTAACTTCCCCCGGCCCCTGCGCCTTGGAGGCAGAGGACTTGCCATAGCAGGTGTTGCTGAGCCCTGTGCTGCGAACCATTTGTGCTGCTTCCTCAGTGTCTAAGGAGTCAGAGAACATTGGGAAACTTGGAGGTCTTCCCTCCTCCTCCCTTCCTTGCTAAAGGTACCGGGGACTGAGCCCAGGGCCTTTGCTCTGAGCTGCATCCCCAGCCCTTTTGAAAATTTTTCATGCTGACACAGGATCTTGCTAAGCTACTAAATTGCCCAGGCTGGGCATGAACTTGCCATCCTCTTGCCTTGGCCTCCCAGGGTGCTGCAATCACAGGTTGGAGCCACCACGCCCAGCTAAGTTTAGACCTTTGATACGCTGCGCTCGGTTATGGTCTTTGAACCCTTGCTTGCCCGGCACCCAGAACTGGCCAGTGATAGGGGCCCCCACACCGCACCCTCTAAAGAGCCTGTTCTTTTGAAAAGTAATGCACTTTCTATATTTCCTTTCTTTTGAGAATTTGTGCTTCAAAGAAAGAATCTGGACTTTACTGTTAGGGTGTTAAAAAGTTAAAGAGGACACGAAGCTTTTATGGCTCCCAGGGCTCCTCCTGCTTGGTCAGTCCCGCTCGCGGAAGCAGCTGTCCCGGGGAGCCCGGCCTGGGCTCGGCTTGCTGGGCGTTTCTCTGGGTCTCAGGCAGCGAAACCCTCCCAGGGTTCGGCCCTGAGCGTCCGGCACCCTGGCAGGCGGCGGGGCAGCGCTTGGTGCGTAGGGTGTGTGTAGTTTATTTTTGGCTTGCGTGGAATTTGAGGGACATCCTGCCCGTTCATTTGAAGTGTCTTCATTCCTATTTTTGGAAACTAATATTGTCTTTCAAAGTTTCAAAGTGAGGCCTGCAGGAATCCGGGTCCAATGTGTACAAGCCTCATAGACGACCAAAAAGGGAGGGAAACTTTAAAAAAAAAATCTAAAGTCAAGGCAGATGGTGTCTCCAGCGGTCACTGTGGCTGAGACCTGACGCTTCCTGCGTGATGACCTCCCCAAGTTGGGGAGCAGGTGCCCGTGGTTTGCCCCCTTCTGCAGGGGAGCGGCGGCCGGGACACGTGAGGGCTCAGCCCGGCTCGGCCCTTCCTTGCTACCCAGGGACAGGGGGACGCAGTTGTTGTCCCCGCCGTGACCTTGTCACAGGGGTGCTGTTCTGGCATGCGAGCCCCCAAGTTAGGAAGCTGCTGGGAGAAGCCCGCCAGGCCCAGTGTGTGCTGAACGCCCTCGTCGCTTGCGGATGGCAGAGCGAACCCCGGCTGCTTCACGTTGCTCCCCCCACCCCATTCCAAGAGGCACCAGCGGGCACTTCCTGTTTGAGGGTCCTGAGCCAGCCACGGAAGGTCCTTGAGGCGTCCTAGCCAGCCCTCGCCGCTCACAGGGTCCCGGCCTCGGATGACTTGGGACAGTGTGGGTGAGGACTTGGACCAGCCATTCCGCTCGTGGAGTCTGAGCATCCTTGTGACAGCTGTGACGTCTCAGAGGAATCTTCCTCCTCCTCTTCTTTTTTTCCCTTTTGAGGCAGCGTCAAAATTGTGTGGTTCAGGCTGGCCTTGAACTCACTGTGTAGCCTGGAACTCATGGTGATCTGTGGAGGACGCCCGGGCGACGCTCCCTGAAGGAGGAGCAATGTCCCCTGGAACCTGGCCGTTTGCAGGGCTGGGACAGAGCTGGCTGGGACCTCTTATCCCCTCATTTGCAATGCAAATCAGTCCGAGGAGCTGATGTGCAGCCTTTGAAGCAAGGTGACAGGTCAATGTTGCCCCTCCCCATAGCTCCCAAGAAGCGTGTGTGAGCCGGTTGGGATGGAGAGCCCTGCTCCATGCTGTGGGCTGGGATTGAGCCTTGAG